AAGCTCAGTAGGATTCATATGTATATTAAATCAGAGGTGATGTAGCATTTAATTTATTCAGCATTAAGCTTTATACACTTAACTTCATATTCTCTAGCAAAATATGTACTTAAAAAGCCCATATTTAGAGTGAATGCTAAGCATCTCGAACAATTACCCTAGAGCATGTCACGGTCTCACAAAGCGAAGTTTCTCGGTACTGTGTCTGATTTTTATTTCAAGGAAAATTTCAAAGCAGCAGACATATGAAATCCTGGCAAACTTGTTCAGCTGTGTGTCACTCGAAACCCTTGATTAACCAGTAACCTGGCACCTTCATCCTTCTAGAATATAAGCACCAACCCAAAAATGTTTTATACATTTGTAAGTAGAGATGAAGTTAGTTCTTCCTAAGACCATCCAAGCTACTTCTTAATGGAAGGGAAGGGTTAAACAGGCCTGGAGTCATCAATAATCCCTGCAGGTTTATCATTTAGATAAACACAAATCCCAGTGATTTACATTCATAGGTAATCACTTAAAACCTTCACATAGTGCTTAAGAATATAAGTATGCAGGACGTTTTAGAAAGGGTATTATTAAAAACAATTACTTTTTTTTTTTCAAGCAAAAGACCCAGGACCCAGAGAGTTACGTTACATTTATGTAGGACATTTATATTGCCTGAGAAATGAAGCACTACTGAATTTCCTTCAACAGAGATGGTAGAGTGTCTAATTCATTGAGGAGGCATTTCTATAACAGTTAAGCAAAATGAACTCCCTGCCCTCCTGGATCATGAGTTGCAAAAGGGGGAGACAAAGTGAAGAGACAAAAAAGTAAACCTAGTATATAGGGTATGAGGTTATAGAAAGCACTGTGGAGAAAAATGAATCCGAAAAAAGGGCCTAGAGCCTGCTGCAGTTTACAATGGGGCTGTTTCATATAGAGTGTCAAGGGAAAGCCTCATTGACTCCATATTCCTAAAACATGTAATATTTAGAGGTGTGATATTTTCCGGAATATTCAAGGAAAGGATAGAGTCAGATCTTACAATGACCTAAAAAGCATCAAAATTTAGAGAAAGAGAGAAACTGTGTGCTTAGTGATCTCTTTTTTGGATATAAGGGAAAGAGATAACAAAGTATTCAGAACTATCAACTAAAATTCATTTGTTGGGCACAAGAGTTACTGAAGAGGTCAGGCATTATTAGTCTCAGGTCAAAACTGAAGTATGGGCTTTGTGTAAGCTGAAAACTGTTACAAAAAAAGGAATGAAACAAGCAGGAGTCACAAAGTAGCCACTCGGCTCCTAAAAATCATACTTACTAGATAGGTTTCTTCAGTCCTCCTTGTGTAGCAGACATTACTTTGGACTTGGAGAGTAGGATGAATTTGACCATGCCTGTCCTGAGGAGCTCAGGCAGTTAGATGAAGCACACATAGGCATGTGGATAAAGAATTACAATTCCTGGGCACCTGGGTGGCTCAGTCGGTTAAGCATCTGCCATCAGCTCAGGGCTCAGGTTGTGATCCCAGAGTGCTGGGATCAAGCATGGCATGGGGCTCCCTGCTCAGCAGAGAATCTGCTTCTCCCTCTGCCCCTCCCCCGGCTCAAGCTCTCTCTCACTCTCGTTCTCTCTTAAATAAATAAATAAAATCTTAAAAAAAAAAAAAAAGAATTACAATTACTCTGAGTGGAGAAGTACACACAGCATGTTAACCTAGCAGCAGAAAAGCTAAAGGCATTCGGGGCGGAAGACCTAGCGCACGCAAGAGCCCAGACCCTATTCGGAAAACGCTGAGAAGTTGGGGTGACTGGATGTTCCGCTATAGCAGCGTTGGGCTGTGAGGCTGGAGATGTTAGGATGGACAAGGAATGGCTCGGCCCAGCATGACAAGAAGTCTGAAGAAACATCTGGGACTTGATGGAGCCACAGCCTAAATGAGAGAGAAGTGTGGCATAAAAATGTTTTCATGTAGGGCGCCTGGGTGGCTCAGTCGTTGAGCGTCTGCCTTCGGCTCAGGTCATGATCCCAGGGTCCTGGAATCGAGTCCCACATCGGGCTCCTTGCTCGGCGGGAAGCCTGCTTCTCCCTCTCCCACTCCCCCTGCTTGTGTTCCTGCTCTCGCTATCTCTCTCTCTGTCAAATAAATAAATAAATAAAAATCTTTAAAAAAAAATGTTTTCATGTAATAATTAGTTGAGAAATTAGAAACGTCTTATGTGTTAATTCCACTGATTATATGTCATTCTAGTCTTTCTTGTCTATTACTTTCTGGAAGAAATGTTCCAAAGAGCAGGACATAAACACAGTAATTTAAAAGGTATTTTTAAAGGCAGTAAACGAAGTGTTGGCATTAGTAAAAGAATGAACGGCCACTCTCAATCTCTAACAAAAATTAGTACCATTTAGTACAATTAGTAAATCTGTACAATTAAGCAGTAGGAGAGGATATCCATAATGCGCAAAACTGCAAAGTAATGAGTAGGTGAGCAGGGGCAGAATCACACCCAGAGGAGAGGGCTGGAGTCCGCTCAGGAGGCTTCATGAGGGAGGTGGTAGAGGGAGCCCGTGAGGAGTGGGAGATGTGAGCCCAAGAATGACACGCTGTCATTTTAGGCCAGGCGACAGAGGTGACGGGAGGAGTGGGTGAGGCTAGCAAATCCATGGAGCAGCAGGCTCTTGGCAGGGTCGGGGAGTGAGCAAAGAGCAACGGGGACAAGGCAGGGTAGGTCACGATGACACTGGAAATCGCAAGGGCGGCCTGCCCTGATGCGCGCAGCAGCTGCGCGAAGACCAGGCAAGCCAAGTGCAGGCGGATTTCAGGCGGATCACCGGGAGTCTGGGCACGTGGGCTGGATTTGAGCAGGGACAGTGCGGCGGGAGCGAGCGAGCTGGCGAGCTGACGTTTGCAGGACGCTGCCATCCACGTGCCGCGCTGGACTGCGTGCCCACAGGGCTTATCTCGCTTGATTCGCCCTCGGGATGCAGGCGTTAATTAATATCACCGTCCTTTGGCTCTCCGGAGGAGGAGACAGAGGTCTAGGGAAGAAACTTGCTCCAAGTCAGACAGCAGATGGGAAATAAAGTAGGCCTTGCACTTCGGGGCTGAGGCGACCCGCCGCCATGGCCTCTGCTCTCCACGACAGCACCTGGTGTCGAGGAGATGGTGGGCATAAAGAATTCCTAAGGCCAAAATGTGGCGTGAACTTCTGCCCTCCACCCGTTTATGTTTCCTATCTAAAAAATGAACTAAAAATGGGACGGTCCATAATCCTGTCGATTTAACACACCGAGGAGCGCCACGTTTGTAATGCCTCGTTTTACAAACTACTCCATTCATGGCACCAGTACCATTTGTTTCTGTGACTTGAAGTGTCTTAATAAGGATTCCAACAAAATTTTCACATTTATTGTTTAATGACTGGATAATATTTTATTGATTTGATGTACCACAAAAACTCAAAACCTTTCTGGGTTTGGGAGCCTATTATAGAAAATATTGCAACAAAGAATTCCTTACAAATATATTTTGTAATTATTCCTTCCACAGAAGGACTTACAGGATCAAATGGTGCGAACATCTTTTTGTCTCTTGCCATGTAGCTGCCTAAAAGGCTTGTGCTAATTTACAATTCAAACAACAATAAACAAGAAAACCAATTTCCCTACATAATTCTGCTGCACTGGGTGTTCTCATTCATCCTTGGTACTTGTCATTTGAGAACTCAAAGTCGCTGTGACTTTTTTTTTTTTTTAAAGATTTTATTTATTTATCTGAGACAGAGAGAATGAGAGAGACACAGAGCACATGAGAAGGGGGAGGCTCAGAGGGAGAAGCAGGCTCCCTGCAGAGCAGGGAGCCCGATGCGGGACTCGATCCCAGGACTCCAGGATCATGACCTGAGCCGAAGGCAGTCGCTTAACCAACTGAGCCACCCAGGCGCCAGTTGCTGTGACTTTTATTTTCAAAAATTTCTAGCCAAGATGAACATTCTTTCATGGGCTTGTTCACTCACTGTGTTGCCTCTTGCGCAGAGATTTTTTTTTTTTTTTTGCCCTCAGTCCATTAAAGTTCTGATGTTTTGATGTTTTCCTGTCTCATTTCTTTTTCTCTAGGGTAGCTCTCTCTATGTGAACTCAGAAGAGAAGAAACTAGAATTAAAATGGTGCCTCTAGCTGTGTTTGTTATTTGGGCTTTTCCCCACCCTTTTCCAGAAAGACTTAAAAGAAATTACCAGTGCCTTTGTTTATAAACCTCACTTTACTCTGAAATAATTGGTGTAGATCAAAGGGAAGTGGAGGGATACTGCAGAGTGATCAGCTGATAACCATTTCTCCTTTCATTTTCCTAGCCTCACAGCTTTCACATTAGAGAGATCACACACAGCTCGGTTTCTCCTGATAGGCAGCCAGCTCCATTTTGGTGGGGAGGTGGGAGGAGAGAGAGAGCCTTATCTTGAGAGGAGAATGGAATCAATGAAAAGAGCTGTTTGCTCTACGGAATGGAGTGGAGTATAGTGAGGAAGGGAGGCGGAGAAGGGATATTTGTTTTTTCTTAAGTGCTTATAATTAAAGCCTTCCCTCCAGTTGCTCGGTGAACCAGAAAAAGGTATTGGTGAAGTTGTGTGTTTTTAACATCACAAATGAGCCTTGCAGCCTTAATAGAAAAACTTGCTCTCCGGCGGCACCTTGTGGAAAGTAGGTCATCCTGCAACTCGGATACTTGATTGTGTTTAAAGGAAATCGCTTCTGGTAGTTGTGTGCTCCTTCCCCGTTACCCACTTTGCCTTCTAAACATCAAGGGATTTTGTGAAGGATTATGTCAGCTGTTGTATTTTTGTATGACAGTCGCTGAACAGTAAGCTGTATCTCCAGGTATGTATTCTGGAGTTGCGTGTCAAACCAAGTAACTATAGTGATTCTTAATGTTGCATCAGTAAAGTCATCTGTGGAATTTTTAAGGTCATTCATTCAAGAAAGCACTGATTTGGGCTTTAAATTTTTGTTTTCCAGGTGGAAACAAATTAACCAAGCAGCATTTTCGTCTGAATTGGGCATGGATCTCCTTTGAAAAGGACTATTACCTGATCAATGAGGACTCCAAATTTCTAGATGTCGTTCTTAAACGTAGAGGTTACTTGGGAGAAACTTCATTTATAAGTAAGTTTAATTTGCACTTCTGTCAAAAAATCCCCTTTTTTTAAGCAAAAGTTCGTAATTTTACAATGATTAAAGTATGTTCCTTTTAGGGGCGCCTGGGTGGCTCAGTCGGTTAAGCCTCTGCCTTTGGCTCAGGTCATGATCCCAGGGTCCTGGGATCGAGTCCTACATCGGGCTCCTTGCTCAGCAAGGAGCCTGCTTCTCCCTCTGCCTGCCTCTGTCTCTCTCTCTCTCTGATAAATAAATAAAATATTAAAAAAAAAATATGTTCCTTTTACTGCTCTAGTTTTAAAGTTTAGGGAGATGTTGACATTTAAAGGTTCTTTAACTGCTAAAGAAATATGCCAAGAGTTTCATGTCAAGGCTAAATCATAGACAAAAGGCTGCAAAAATAAGAAATGTGTAACCAATTAACATACCTCTCCAAACCTTCTACCTACATAAGATCTTTCTCTGATGTAAATAACCTTACAAAAATGGCAGTAATCGCTCATAAGTTAAAAAACTGTAAATGTCACTAGCCCTTAGAAGAGGCTTAGGTGAATCTGTAATTTAACCATAAGATAAAAATCTGCAGAAATGTCAGTATAAAACCTATATGAGGGCCACTTTAATAAGTGAAAAACCATTCAGTAACCTATTAGGCGTTGAGGTGTAATTTACTATTTGTTGCACTGGAGTGCTTTGCTAGGTAAGGGAAAGTTTACATAAAAGCACTACATAAAAGATGTACATTGTGACTTTTCTTCAGAACCAACAGTAAGATATTAAATACTAGTCATTTTCTGCTGCTTTACCCTTTTAAATAAAACGGAGAGTCAAAAGCAAAGAATAAAGCTTTTTTTACAAGCCCAATTCAAGTTTTCACATTCAATTTCATGCAGGCACAAAATAGAGAAAAGTAGGTATACTGGTAATTTTAAGCAGTAATACTTTCGGCACAAAAAAAATGGCATATTGATGAAAAATGCCAACCAATAATATATTGGGAACCCCAACCAATATATTATTTTTGGTACCATATGTTTTATAGACATCTAGGCTGATAGAATTTTCTCAAGGTAAAGGAGCTTTCGTTGACTGAGAGTGCAGTTAAGGTAGGAATCTAGGAAATGTCGGCAATAAAAAAATTAAAACTGGGCAATCCTGTGTTAGTCTGGAAAACAATTACTTGAAATTTTACTGGTCCGTGAAATTCAAAAGCCGTAAAGAGTAGATCCCTATTCACCCACGTACACACACATATACACACATAGCATACCCCCTACTTCAGCCACAGCCACAATCCCCACCCCTGACCTTGTTCCCTCTGACTTTTGGATGCCGGGTATTAATTACCCCTTATTTTTATTTATTTATTTTTAAAGATTTTATTTATTTGAGAGAGAGAATGAGATAGAGAGAGAGCATAAGAGGGGCAGGGTCAGAGGGAGAAGCAGACTCCCTGCCGAGCAGGGAGCCCGATGCGGGACTCGATCCCGGGACTCCAGGATCATGACCTGAGCCGAAGGCAGTCGCTTAACCAACTGAGCCACCCAGGCGCCCCCCCACACACTTATTTTTAAAGTGCTTTTGGTTTGTTAACTGTAGAGGAGAGATTTTCACACTATGCTCTGCTTGATCCCTTAAGGTTACTTTGCTCAAGGGGCCCTGGTCCACCTGCAGACCTCCTGCAGTCAGGACAGCTCTGCTTCCATCTTTATTCACATGTACCTCTTCTCAGCTGTCATTTCCACTCTCTGTGTCAAACCCTCAAAAGCACTGTGAATGCTCTTAACTGCTGTCTCTTTAGAAGCATGTTTTGTCTGCACACATACACGTGCTCTGCAGATCAGGAATCTGATCCTGTTTTACTTATTGTCAGTGATGATGAGCCTTCAGTGTTCTTTGTGCTTGAAAATATGGGGAAAATAACAATGAAAAAACAGAGAACCTTAGCAATTCTTAAAGATGCCTTCATCTCTTTGCATTTTGCCTGAATTCCTGGTGGGTATGTTCAGTTTACTCACTTACACAGAGTCCACTGAAAGTCATGGGAAAGTTACTAGTGGAAAGATACTTTTAAAACCATCTTTCCACATTCTTCTCTTCATTTTTTTTAAAAGATTTTATTTCTTTATTTGACAGAGAGAGACAGCGAGAGCGAGAGAGAGAGAGAGAGAGGGAACACAAGCAGGGGGAATGGGAGAGGGAGAAGCAGGCTTCCCATTGAGCAGGGAGCCCAACGCCAGGCTTGATCCCAGGACCCTGGGATCATGACCTGAGCCGAAGGCAGACCCTTAACAACTGAGCCACCCAGGCGCCCCACCTTCATTTTCTTTTTTAAAGCGGAATCCTAAAACGTCAAACAAGAGCCCTTTTTTTCTCCTAACGTTATTTTTTCCACGAACTGTTATTTCCTCTGTGTTGAGATGAGCACCAGCCATTCTGCAAACGTTCTTTAGCTCTACTTGGTTAACCTCACATGTTACTTAGTAACCTGGGGAGATAGGAAGTTGGCAAGACTTGCGTGTGTGGCCCACACCCATCAATCACTGAAGATGTCAATAGCATTCAAGCTGGGACAGAGAATGGAAGTCAGATTAAAGAGGAGAGTAGCCTCCAAGAAGTTCCACAATGAATGTTTCCTGTTCCTGTTTCCTAAAACCTCCACTTTCACTTAACGAACTTTTAGAATTAGATAGTTTGCGTGATATCTAAAGGCAGCCTATCACTTACGTTCAGGAGCACAGTTAGTAAATCATGAATTACATGAAATCTATATAGGTGTTTTCTCGGAGATGATGATTCATTTTATAACCAATATAACCCATTAATAAATTAAATATGCCTGTGCATTTTATAAAGGTATTTGAATTTCAAAGATCTTATTGCTACTGGTTATCGAGCATTTACTAAATAAATACTTCATTAAGCACATTAGGTACTTCACCTTTGTCTTTTACTCCTTACAACTTACTTCACTCTCTAACTCAACCGAATTTTCTAGAGTGCTTACTGAGTGCCAGACACCGTGTTACCTAATGGACTATGAGCGGGCAATAATAGCTAAAATTTTATTGAGTTCTTATGATGTGCCCAATACCTTACATAGTCAACCCCATAAAAGGAGTGTCATGATAACCCCCATTATGCAGGTAAAGAAACAGAAAAGTTGTATGCCCAGAGCTACTAAGGGGCAGAGCCGAGATTTGGCCCCAGGGCTTTCTGAACTATCACACCTGCTGCTTCTTAAATCCTCCACAACTGAGGAAGTGCATAACCTGCCTATATTCCCATTGCTGCTATGTGGTCGAGGTAGGGTATGGAATCCAAAAGTACCTTGCTTGACCTCCATGCCATTTTTTTATGCCAGAGGAAAAGATGCAATTGTGGTTTCGCTTAGTAAATCGAAGTAACGTGTTTTGTTTAATAATGAATTCTCTTTGAAAAAATAAAAGCATATATGTAAGCCCAATTTGTAAGCTTTTTGATTTCCAGAATTCTTTTTGCCCAATCTGATCATGTTATTTGTAATATATATGGTTTACCAGCTGAATATCTGTATCTCCAAGTAAGAGCATTTTTTGAGCATTGTGTGTACGTGACTGTCTCATCTATCACATTAGAATAAAATGTGGACTAATCTGTGTTCTTCACAGTCTATAGGCCATTTCTTCATTCTTTATTAAAATGGGCACCTATATAAAGGGCCCTATGGAGATATAAAGTAGTGTCTATCTATCTACCCTCAGATTTTAATGCACGTAAGATTTACCTGGATCTTGCTAAAATGTTGATTCTGATTCAGGGGGTCTGGAGTAGAGCCTGAAATTCTGCATTTCTAACAAGCTCTCAGATGTTGCTTATGCTGCTGATCCATGGATCACACTGTTAAGTAACAAGATAGATTAGCACTACACTCAGAATAGGTACTGCGTGTTAATTATAAAAAAGAAATCTTTATTTTTGATCCAAAGCAAGTTTAGTATTTCATCTAAGTCTTATTTTACTCTCTAAAAATATAACCTGTCCTTCTTAGTTTTATCTCATGTTTGAGAAGCGTATCAACAGTTTAAGACCACAATTTTTTTTTCTACAAAATAAAGGGGCGCCTGGATGGCTCAGTTGGAAGAGCATGTGACTCTTGATCTTGGGTTTGTGAGTTTGAGCCCCATATTGGGTGTAGGGATTACTTAAAAAAATAACATCTTAAAAAAAGAAAAAAAAAAGAAATAGCTTGTGCCTTGAGAAAAGAGAATAAATGCAAAAGCACAAAAGACACAGACAACACAAAACACAGTTTTTCAGTTGATTAAGCCTTCTGCCTTCAGCTCAGATCATGTTCCCGGGGTCTTGGGATTGAGCCCTGCATCGGGCTCCCTGCTCAGTGGGGAGTTTGCTTGTCCTCTGCCCCTCCTTCCTGTGCTCATGCTCTTTCTCTCTCTCTCTGGTCTTTCTCTCTCTCCCCTCTCAAATTAATACATAAAATCTTTTTTTAAGGTTTGGTTGTTTTGTTTTGTTTTGTTTTGTTTTTTTGTCAGAGAGCGAGGGAGAGAGAGAGCACAAGCTGGGGGAGTGGCAGGCAGAGGGAGAAGCAGGCTCCCTGCTGAGCAAGGAGTCCTATGCGAGGCTCAATTCAAGGACCCTGGGATCATGACCTGAGCCAAAGGCAGATGCTTAACTGACAGAGCCACTTAGGTGTCCCTAAATAAATAAAATCTTAAAAAAAAAAAAATAGAAGTCCATTCCTCTTTGCTTGGCGAATCAACAATACTGCCTATTTATAATTTACATCCAACATTCAATTGGGAATATTTTATAAAATCCACCCAAAAAATTATATGTGTTTTTAGCAGCAACAATGAAATTTAGTATTACAATATATGTTTTATTAGGTTGGATAACTTGATTATCACTTAGTAAGGATGACTAGTTGGAACTAGTGGACATTCTTTGTATTATACTCATTCCTTTTTTTGTTTTTAACTGCCTTTTGAATCTCCAGGAAAATAATGCATTGTTGGTGAAACAAAGCAAAACAGAAAAGTGGGCAGTAGTTATCAGAGACCAAATAATAGATTCTTTGCTGGCCCATGCCACTGGGGATAGATGGGTCAATGAGCAGCATGTGTGCTGGAACCTCAGAGAGAATGATTCCTTTCATCATCACCTTGGCAGTGAATCATGGTGGACCCAAGAGGTGTTGACAACCTGTCTGTGTGCACTAGGAACCAGAGAGCTAACAGGAAGTCTGCAGCATTCAACAAAATGTGTAGTGCTGGGATTCCTAGTTCTGTGCCCTTTTTCCTCCTGACATTAAATAGATGTTTTACCTACTATTAAAAAAAATGCAGTATTTATGTTTTTTTCTGAGATCTATAAAACAAAAATATTTTAATGAAATACCTATTTTCATCTGCATTTTAAGATGAGGCTAACAATCAGTAATGTATTCAGATGAAGAAATAGTCACATTAATCTTGCAGAAGCACCACTCTCTAAGAAGAAGACAGTTGTTTCAATTAAATAAGAAATGTTGCAAAGACTTTATTTTTCAGACTTTTAATTCTAATAGTCACAAGATTTTATTTTTCCCCTTTTAAGTCTGTCTTTCCTAACAAGTTCTCTCAAAATGCCAATGTTTAAAGAAATATATTTGAAAATTATTCTATTAGCTCGACTCCCTAAGAGGTTCTGATTCAGTTTAAGGATATATACTATATAGTACAAGCACTACTGCAATTTTATAATTTTTCTATGACATTGGATTTGTTGACTGTTGACTATAGATAATCTATGATTTGAGTACATGGTATAGTAATGGTAAAGATCCTCTTGTAATGTAGTGAAAGACTCTGAGATCCAGGGCGCCTGGGTGGCTCAGTTGGTTAAGCGACTGCCTTCGGCTCAGGTCATGATCCTGGAGTCCCGGGATCGAGTCCCGCATCGGGCTCCCTGCTCGGCGGGGAGCCTGTTTCTCCCTCTGACCCTCTTCCCTCTCGTGCTCTCTGTCTCTCATTCTCTCTCTCTCAAATAAATAAATAAAATCTTTAAAAAAAAAAAAAAAAGACTCCGAGATCCTTCAACCTCCTCAGCTCCCTGCAGTTGACCTTGAGTGAACCATCAGAGTAAGCCAAACATACTGCTCATAACAACCTTATGTATTTAGCTCTCCAGTTCTGTTCACATGGTTTCATGGAATTCTGAAGTGTTCCCCCAGAAAAAACCTGGATGTGGTCATGTTGACAATCACTGAATTAGATTCTTGTAAGAGTCCTCATTCCGTAAATGTGTAGAGAGTATTGTAACTCTTTATTATGCTTGACCATTTACAACTTTGATTATCAAAGAATTCTTGACTCACAAGTTTCTTTTTGGTTTATATTTTCTAGTTAGAGAACTTTTTTATGTTTTTATCATATAACATGTGCAATATAATACATGCAAAAGCAAATGTGAAGAGTTTTTAGACTGAATGAATTTGTAGGAGTAAAAATATTCACAACATGAATATCAATTTACTGGGTCTTGCTTTATAAGAGGTTCCATCTAACACAAACATAGCTCAAGGAATATACAGGAAAACCATCATGAGGTCAGAATAGAACAGAATCATGAACCAACCAACACCTACAGGAGAACACTTTCACTGTGGGACCCATACCCAACCGTCCATTTCATGCAGTCAATCCTGGATCTAGTAACATGCAGGATGAAGTAACACACAAAAAGTTAACAACAAGAAAAACCTTAATAATCCGATTGAAAATGAAACTAAGAAAATGATACCATGTTTTTGTGAAGGTATTGGCACAAGAGATGGGACTGCAGAAAAAGACAAAGACTTCAAGGGCAAAGCACAGAAACAAGTGCAGTTCAACCCAGGCCAGACCAGGGCCACCTGGAGAGTGCGGATCATGAGTGATGGGGAGCACGAACAGTCGGAGACCTTCCAGGTGGTTCTCTCAGAGCCCGTGCTGGCTGCTCTGGAATTCCCTGCAGTGACCACAGTGGAGATTGTTGACCCAGGAGATGGTAAGAGCTATCATCAACTTGTTTATATTGTTGCTATTGGGTTTTTAATGACAAAATACCTTATAAAGGAAGTTTTACATTCAATTTTTGGACTTTCTTTGGGGGGAATGTTCTAGACTCATGGTTCAGTATTCTCAGATATGCTGATGGGAGAGGGAAACCAAAAACTAATAAATTCATTAATAAGGGAAGCTATGTTGTTCCAAGTAAATGAATTACAAATGCACATATGATTATCAACATGTTCCTTCTCTTATTATAATTCCATCCTTTAGAAACAATATTGTTCATCTCCTTTTTCTTGAATTAATTCATTATTTCTTAAAGTCTTTTAAGTGTCTTTATAAAATTTCTTTACACAAATAGTTTAAGAATTGGGCCATTTTTGGATTAATTTGCTCCCCAAGGTACACTTCATTGTTCAAGTTTCCTGCATATATTTATGAGCCAAAAATTTTCATTTGGCCCATGTGCTTCCACATTCGTTACATAAAACCCACCCAACCTAACCTCGCTCTTCAGTGACTCGTGTCTTGAATCATTGCTCTTAACTCCTATTAGGTGATGCTTTGTTGTTAGTGCGCACCTTTGGCTGATGTTGGTAAAAGTGAGTCTCACTGCTATTGTGTGTAATTTGACCCATTCCCTCCCCCTGCCATACTTTTACAGTGCTGGCTTGTCTCAGTGCAGTCAGGAAAAAAAAAGAGAAAGAAAGAAAGAAAGGTTGAATGGCTTTCTGAGGGCTGGCATTTATACAAAGGTGGGAGAGACTCTTCTAATGCTGAAATCCTGTCAGAAGCCAGACGTGACTTTCTTTTCAACTGCCAGCCTACTTTATTTTTTCAGTCAGAAAACTCTTAAATTTTCTGTGAAGATACAATCTACTGAGTACATGAAATGGAGACATGTGGAAATCTCTGGGTTACAAGACTGAACATAATTAGAGAGAACACGTAAGAGAACCAGGGCTCTGGGTCTGTTTGTTTAACTAACATCTCTCCTTTAGTATGGAGTTCAATTATGTTTATAATTCTTTTAGAGAACAGTGGCATTTAATTACATTTAGTTTTATCGGCACTATCTAGGCATAAATAATTAAATTTTCTTCTAGTCCTGAGTTTTGGGTAAGTGCTAGCATAACAAAGCTCTCTTTTGAACAAGGCTGTGGCAACTTTAATACATATAAACTGGCCCATCAGTTAAGAGTTTGTTTGAAGCCGTTTCTTTCTCTTTCTCTTTCTCTTTCTTTCTTTCTTTCTTTCTTTCTTTCTTTCTTTCTTTCTTTCTTTCTTTCTTTCTTTCTCTTTCTTTCTTTCTTTCTTTCTTTCTTTCTTTCTTTCTTTCTTTCTTTCTTTCTTTTTCTTCCTTCCTTCCTTCCTTCCTTCCTTCCTTCCTTTCTTTTTCCCTCCCCTCCCCTCCCCCTCCCCTCCCCTCCCTTCTCTCCCCTCCCTTCCCTTCCCTTCCCTTCCCTTCCCTTCCCTTCCCTTCCCTTCTCTTCCCTTCCCTTCTCTTCCCTTCCCTTCTTCCCTTCTTCTAGCTCTAGGCCCAATGTGGGGCTTGAACTCATGACCCTGAAATGAAGAGTCACATGCTCTACCAATTGAGTCAGCCAGGGACCCCGGAAGCCATTTCTTGATATTTTATTTGCCAATTGGTATAATTGCCATAATTTACCTTAAAAATTAAGACACTAAAAATCATGGGGTGCCTGGGTGGCACATTCAGTTGAGCATCAGACTCTCTTGGTTTCAGCTCCAGTCGTGATCTCATGGGTCTTGAGATCAAGCCCCGTGTCTGGCTCTGAGCTCAGCCAGGAGTCTGCTTGAAAATTCTCTCCCTCTGCCTCTCTTCCCAATCTCTCTCTCTCTCTCTCTCTCTTTTGCAAATAAATAAATAAATAAATCTCAAAAAAAAAAAAAAGACACTTAAACTCATTAGTGCCTTCCTATTTATAAGCTCAGAGTAACACTCTATACCCATAATAGGTCTGATAAGTGGAATATTAAAAACAAAATACAGGGGCGCCTGGGTGGCTCAGTTGGTTAAGTGTCTGCCTTCAGCTCAGGTCATGATCCCGGAGTCCTGGGATCCAGCCCCACATCAGGCTCCCTACTCCACGGGAAGTTTCTCCCTTTCCCTCTGCTCCTTCCCCTACTTGTGCTCTCTCTCTCACTCACTCTTTCAAATAAATAAATAAAATCCTAAAAAAAAAAAATGCATACACACAACACACACGCACACACAACTTTGCCATAATTTCATTTCACGTAATGGTCATCTAAGTTGTTATGGAATTTTCTAGATGAAGTTCAGCCCTAGTCATTCTAGGCCATGATCATCCCTAGGATAACTGATAGGTGTCCCATAATACTTGATATATTCCACATCTTGTTGGAGACCTTTGGTCTTGAAGTTACAAGATCTGAGTTTGATTCCCAATTCCATCATTTCTAGTTTTATGACCTTAATCAAATCAAACAAGTTTTATTAAGATTTAATTTCCTAATATGCAAAATAAGAAAAATTAATGATTCTCATATTACATCATTCTTACGAAAGAGTTCTATAAAACATAAAGCACAATATGAATGTTATTTCTAATATCACAAATAACATTGTTAAATTTCATTTTAAGAGATTAAAGAATCCTTCTCCCTGCCCATAAAGGGTCACTTTCCCTACCATTTCAAAGTTAATTGTTTCTTTCTACACTGTCTTGTAACCCTTCACATATAAATTGGCTAACCCTAGGAACCATTAGGCCTGTAAACTCCCCCTCTGCATATTACTTCTAGGACATGATATGAGATTTTATTTTGCATGCATTAAAAATGTATCCAGCTCATACTTGTGCTGGGTATAGCACTATGTGTTAGGGATGCAAAGATAATAGGATATAGTTCTATCAAAGCTCATATGGTCTAATGGGAAGGAGAGCCCTATGAGTAAGTGATCGCAATAGAATGTGATGCAGTACAACATAGTATGTGCAGTGTTATGGGACCAAGAAGAGGACATATCCAACTCTGCTTCACTTTAGTCTGGAAATGGTCGTTACTTATTAGCTAGTTTATATAAGCACATGCAAATACATACATACTTTTCCCAGTTCTTTACTTATCCATAACTGCTACTGCTAATGATAATAATTGAAATTCATCAAACACAATTGGCAGACAATGTACTTAACACATTATATACGTTCCTTCACTCACTGTCTTTTACCTCACTACGTTGTGGACATATGTACCATTTTAAGCATTTTACTTGTTGTTTGTAGAATGCTCTCAATTTCACATGTGACACATTTTATTTATTTATTTATTTTTTAAGATTTTATTTATTTATTTGAGAGAGAGTGAGAGTGAGAGAGAGAGCATGAGTGGGTGAAGGGCAGAGGGAGAAGCAGGTTCCCCACAGAGCAGGGAGCCCGATGCGGGGCTCCATCCCAGGACCCTGGGATCATGACCTGAGCCTAAGGCAGAGGCTTAACCAACTGAGCCACCCAGGTGTCCCAACATTTGACAAATTTTAGAATACTCTTCACATGTTTTATGACAAAACAACTTACTAGCATAAACTCTACACACACACACACACACACACACGTATATATGAATGTATACATACATACATCCTAAATTCTCACATTTTCATAATTATACTCATAATACTTTATCCATTTATATTTTTTAAGTTACATAGTTGTGATTAAAGTAAAGATTTTAAATGACTATTCGTTTTATTCAATACATGAGTATCTACATCTACTGCAAAGATAATACATACATTTAGGTGCTTATTTGTTTCACCTGAGGTACTACGCAACGCCCGTATGGATGTTCTGTAATATCTCTCATGCCTCCCGATGTTGTGACCTTCTGGCTGGGAATAGATTGACTCTGTTCTAAAGAGTGGATCCAGTCGCTATGTCTTCGTGCATCTTCTGTGCAGGAAAGCAGCCTGCTTCAAAGGGCAGACACCAGTGATAACAAGTGTACCCCAGTCCTCATCCCTGGATCCCCTGGGGTGGCCATGCATAAAAGGGAGCTAATTTCCTACTGGCCACATGCAGATCTCGCTGTCATGCTGGTACCTTCCCTGCCACTCAGAGAGGGGCCACTCAGGCACAGTTCAACTGTCAGATGGGACTTCAGAAGCCCACATTTTGTTGAGAACAGACATAGTTTGTTGCATGAAAATGGAGGACTGAAAAGGGCTTTTCCTTCTACTCAACAAAGCTCAATGGGAGCACAGAAGAAGGACACACCGTTCTGCCATGACTGTGGATATCAATAGCTTCCCAGGCAAATGGGTTTAGTCATTTACTGGGTACATCAATAAATTCAATTTCCTCACACATTGAAATCTGTGGTACAAAGAAGAAAGCTAGAATAGGAAGAATACAGACAGCTGAGCAGAGCTGTTAACCTCTCTTTGTCATACTGCCTTTGCCCCAGCTGCTTGTGGCCTTTCCACTCCCATGGAAAATCTACTCTTGGTGTCATGATTTTTACCTCACTGCTTTGTCCTCTATCACTGTTATCCTCCCTTGTTTCAGTTTGATTCCACAATCTCCATCCTTTACAAGTACACGTAGAACATTCCAATTGGGAGTGGTTTTAAAGTGCATGAAGGATTTAACTCATTTTCTGGATGGGGAACCTGAGAAATAGAACCAACCTTAAAGCTCTGCCTAAATTGACCACTTGGAAGCTGTTGTATTTGGTTGTCTTTAGTATTGGTAGAGATGGGTAAAATAACACTTTCTCTGAGAGGATGGGCACTCCTCTGTGGGGTCCCATTGAGTGGCAACAATTAGCTTTCGTGGAAAGATCCTCTGCAGCTAGGCCGGACTGAATCAAGAGCAGACAGCAGATTGCCGGAAGACAAGAAGGGCTTCGAGGAAATTTCAGGTCACTGTTACTCCTCCTGCCCTTTTTTCTAACCCAACCCAGAAAAGTCCAAAAGGATTATTCCATAGGCCAAGGGTAAGAGAG